AGGGAGAGTAGTACTGAAACAGATGAATGTGCCATTCAGGTAACACTAGCTGGTCCGGGTACTCCCTTTAAGTATCTGCAGCACTGTTTTTAGAAAAAGAGGGCGGTGTTTTTATTAAAGATTTCATCACTCTTAGAGAGCAGCTCTCTTAGTGAACATTTCCACATCGAGTTTTAGCTGCTACCTGGCCTAAGTAAGTACAAAATTGCAATGTCCTGATGTCTTTCTTGCAAAGTAGAAACAAGTAGAAACATGCTATCAGAGGTAGTTCATGCCTGCCAGTGCAAATTCTGGTCTTTGTTATTTGCAAGGATCTCACGGGGCAATTTCATGCTACAAATTGTAGGAGAACTGGGTGCAATACAGTATTGCTGTGCAGATCCCACTTAAGGGGTGGAAGATGCTTTAAATCTCAATTGTTTTGAAAGTGTTGCAATCTAGTGTGTTTTTGCTGTTTGGAAATATACAAAAGATGTCATCTACTGATTCCACAAGAGCCCACAAGTATTTATCCTGTTAGATGTGGAAGAATGCATTGTCTTCACTTCCAGGATATGTGAATTTTGAATGACCAAGGAGTTTATATGGTGTAAGGAAGGAAAAATAATAATAATAAAAAAAAAAATCCTTGGACTGCATTTACCAGTTCTTAAGACTTTTGCTCACAAATGTGTCTTCTGTATGTGTACCCTCCCTGTGCAGGTGTACACGCCCCTTGCAGTTTAAGAATTCCTGGCTTACAGCCCTTCTCATCAACTACATGTGTGACCAGTTTCCCTGCATGCTGTGTCCTGCTTCCACACTGGGTGTTCTGGAGTCACCTTGAGACTGACAGATCACCTATCAGCAGTGCCTCACTCAACTGCAGTTCCCTCCCCTCCCTTCTGCTTCCCCTTGCATAATAGCCTTTTTCCTTCCTGGTAGTTTTCGATCTCATCCAGCTTCACCTTCTTTCCCATGGAAAGCCTGAGTCACTCTTCTGAGCCTTTTTTATTGTCTGCCAAGAGCTTGCAGCAGCTTCAAGCAGCCAAGGTGCTTTGCTCTTGGTAGACCACTATTCTCTTCCTCCTGCGCAGCCCTGAGCTGTGTGCTAAGAAGTGCTGGGAGAGAGCGGCATGAGCGATTAGAGGTACTGCTTTGCTTCTGCTAATCTTTAACTTCACAACAAATCATCTTTACATCGAGCTGGCCTTCTCAGGACTGTACAAAACTGAGGCTGTGTCCAGGAATAGAAGGGCAAAGGAGTTGCTGACCTGTTTTGATCATGTTTTGTTAAGTTTCAGAGCGGTACCCTGCTTGACGCCAAGCGGTCTCCTGGTACTGGCAGTGTTGCCAGCAGAGGTTAATGGTGTACCCAAGGAAATCCCTACGTTACGCATCACTGGATGAGGTGAATTTGACTTGCTTACTTATGAAAAGCCTATTTCTTTTAAGACAAAATAGCTGGGAAAGTGGACCCAGCGGACCTGTTTGTGAAGGGAATGCTCAGTTAGTAGGAGCAAAGCCTGGGAAAGATGCACCGTTCATGGACATGTTTTCTCAACTCAGACTGGCAAGCCCTGCAGGAAGTTCAGAGGACAAGCAGAAGGCAAAGCCACAGGTTTCTTCCTTACTCAGGCACTACTTCTCTGTTTCTTTTAACCCCTCCACCCTCTTGCAGCAAGGAGTCAAAGACCAGCCGTACTATGAAAATAGCATGGTCAGCATGCGAAGCCAGCACATTTGTCATCTCAAACAGTTCTTGCACAGATTCACTGGGCTGATTTTTCAGTACTATTGAATCTGAGTGGCTCAAATCACTGTTGAATGAAGGAAACTAATTATTTTTGTGGAGTTTTTAAAGTCCCTTTTTCTAGGTGGGGCTTTATAGAACTTAACTTCAAAATCTACTTCTTAAATGAATTTCAAAGTATTTACTAGAAACAGCAAATTTAAGAACTGGATGATTAATTCTTTCTTTCCTTCACATAGCTAGACCAGTATCAAGCTGCACATAAAAGTGCCAGAATCAGTACCAGGAACTATCTTGTGCCTAGGAAAAAATCTGGGAAATGCAATGTAATTCCTTACCTCCTTATAGATTTTCTCAGGCCTAGTTGTTAGATATGTAAGATCATATCTGGAGAAGGAACCAGGGAT